GGTCCAATGAAGAGAAAAAACCCACAGCAATTTGCACAAGCAGCATTTAATATAAAGCAGAGGCTGGCACACAATGGCCTGCTACGTAGTTTTTCAACAGCCCACAAGCTAGAAAGTAGTTTTTTTTTTTTTTTGATAGGTTCTCATTCTGTCACTCAGGATGGAGTGCAGTGGCATGATCACAGCTTATGAAGCCTTGACCTCCTGGGTCCCAGCTTCCAGCAGGTGATTATGTTAAGTGAAATAAGCCAGGCCAAGTGATCCTGCCTGCTCAGCCTGGCTAATTCTTAAATTTTTTTGTAGAGTCAGGGTCTCATTATGTTGCCCAGGCTAGTCTCAAAGTCCTGAGCTCAAGTGATCTTCCTGACTTGGCCTTCCAAAGTGCTGGAATTACGGATGTGAACCAGCACACCTGGACAAGAATTGTTTTTTATATTTTTAAAGGGTTGTAATATGAGAAAACCAGAGAAGAATATCCAACATAGACCAAATAAACTGCAAAACCTAAAATATATATTCTCTGCTCCTTTATGGAAAAGCTTTCTGACCTCCGAAATAAAGATTTATTAACCACAACATGGGCCTAACTATAAAGAAAAAAGAACTCTGAAGGATACCTAGGGAGGAAGCCTTCTCAGAGGAATGGGAATCCATCGACAAATTTTAAAGAATGTAGCAGCCTAATTGGCCTAACTTAAAGCTCAACATGCCTGTCAAGTAATAATGGATTGGAGGGTGCTGGGTAAGAGAGGATACGGGAGCAATCAAGATTCTCTTATGGTTTTCTGGGAGAGAAAAAGGAGAACTGAAGGATTCAGGTGCACCTACCCAAACCTGGCTTAAGCAGGTGAGAAGCTGTAACAACGCAAAGGTTGGGGCCACCCTGGAGAAAAAGGATTACAGCCACCCAAAATTGGGTTTGAATGTTCACACTGATGACACACACACACACACTCCAAGAGGGTATGAAGCTTATTACATAACAGGATTTCTGAAGAGAGCAGAGTGGGCTTTCCCAAGCTGGTCTGAACATGGCTTGAGAGGGCAGAGAAAGCAGGTTGGTTTCGGGTTGGGGTTTTATGGTGCTTAGGGTATGGGCCACAGCCAGGGGTACTGCACAGGGTTTGAACTCCCCACTGGCACTAGAAGAGGGAGTACCCAGGTTTTCTTATCAGCTTATCCAGCTGTGGGGTGATAAGAAACAAACATCAAACATGGTCAAACTTTTAATAATCCCAAGGAAAGTGCAAGTCAACAGTGGAGGTATGAACCTCAATGGGGGAGTCTGGGTGAGGCCTCTAGTTGGGCAAGGGTGGGACCATGGTCACCAGGGAAATAGGAAGCAGCCCTCTGGGGTCCAGGGGCCAAGGCTAGTGGCTGGAGTATGGAGAGGCCTGTGGTGAGGCAGTCACAGGCAGGAGCTAGGGCTGTGAACAGGCCAGGGGGCTCCATTCCTGTAGGGCTGACAAGGCCGTAACAGGAGCAAGAAGACAGACAAGATGGCGGCGCAGTGGTGCCTCTTCCTTCTGGGATATCCCTCCCGCCCCCTCTAGTGGCAGAGCTTAGCACTGCGCTCGCTGCACAGGAGCCAGGACAGCTCCGTCATTGCAGGGCCGGCACTGAACCTGTGGACTTAGAAGCTGGGAGGCAATTGACTGGTAACTGACACAGAAGCCCTGTTCCTTTCCCTTGCAGAGGTGTGAGCCTATAGGTTCAGTTACTCTGGAGGCTGAGGTGGGAGGATCACCTGAGCCTGGGAATTTGAGGCTGCAGTGAGCTGTGATTGTGCCACTCCAGCTTGGGTGACAGAGCAAGATCCTGTCAAAAAAAAAAACAGCCTCTGGATAGTCAGGAGAGGACAGAGGAAGGGAGAGCAACAGAAGGTGGGCGGGATGGGGGGTGGAGGGGGAGAGAAAAAAAGATGGAAAGAGAAATTTGTGGACCCCAAGAATATAGCTCACCTAGAAAGGTTGGAACACCTGAAATGGAAGTAGTGGCTTGGTACTTTCTTGTCCACAGGATCATAGAACTTGTAAAAGAATCCCATGCACCAAATAAAGCATGCAAATAACAGGAAAATTCCAGAAAGCTGACCACCGGGGTGGCAGTCTGTGCACCCCAGTGAAGGAACGTGAACAAGTGGCTCCCATCGGTGTGTTGGCAAGACACACACTGGCTGGAGGTGAGGGTTGTGATAGTAACAAGGACTGAGGTGAACAGTTTTGAATGTTGGGATGTCAACAGAATGAGGACGTGTGGGGAGAAGTTATCCTGTGTTATAGACACTAAATATATATTTTTTTCTCTTACAATAAGAAGTTGAAGACCTGCGTGGATGAGAACTGGAGAAAGTAGGGATTCAGTGTCTCTTTGTCAATTCAGGTTTTGCACGGGGCAAGGTGGCTGTGTCTAAGCCGGTGCCACTAGCATCATACGCACCCAGCTTATGTTAAAAATTTAAGGTTAGAATGATTTTGTAGTTAATTTGTATAGTTATGACAGATGTCCGGCGGATGGCAGAAAAGATCTTGTTCTAACAGATACAGCTAGATGGTTCTGCTTCTGTCTGACATTAAACATAACCAAAGCGTCAAACAACAAAAAAAGGTTATTCTAACTGATATACCAGTGAATAAGCGTCTTTTTTTTTTTTTTTTTAAATAAGGCTTCCTCTCCTGTTACTGTGAAGCTAAATTTGGTGGTTCATATGATGGTTCACACGATCTGGCATTTTTTTCTTGTACTGTACTGGAATGGTATATTCAAATTTTATAATGAAATATTTTATTATTATACAAATCATTGTTGTTAGTCCCGAAGTATTACATAAACTGTGGTCGCTATATATAATTATATTCTAATTAGTGTATAGCCTATTTTATTTATTATACAATTTTAGGAGACCAAGGTTTTCATCAACTTACCTATTAGTTGTAACAAATTCTAGGATAAACTGCTAACATTATATTATTTTTTCTGGTGTCAAATGAGGTCTTTGTAGCACGTGTCACAATGTCCTTCCTTTGGAAAGGGGAACAACATTCCATTGTACAGATGGACCATATTTTATCTATTCCTTCTTCAATGAACGCCTGGGTAGCTCCTACTTTTGAGCTGTTGTGAATAACGTTGCAATGAACACAGGAGTGTGAGTTCCTGCTTCCAATTTTTTGAGGTACATATGCAGAAGTGGCATTCCTAGATTACATCGTAATTCTATGTTTAATTTTTTGGGGGGCTGCCATGCTGTTTTCCTTGTGTATTAACAGCGCACAAGGGTTCCAATTTTCCCACATCCTTGGCAAAATTTGTTATTTTCTGTTTTTTGATAGTGATGGTGTGTTTTTGATTTACATTTCCCTAATTATTAGTGATGTGGAGTGCCTTTTCCTGTGACTGTTGGCCATGTGTAGACCTTCTTTGGAGAAATGTCTAAGTTCTTTGCCCATTTTAAAACCATGTTGTTAGTGTTTTGTCGATGAGTTATACATTCTTTATATACTCTGGCTATGAACCCCTTTTCAGATATGTGAAGCGCAAATACGGTATCCTATTCCATTGGTTGCTTTCACTCTGTTGATTGTGACCTTTGACGCAACAACTGTGAGTTTTAAAACATATATTTCCTTATTACAATGTTATGTAGGTATAATTGAGGTACAGTAAATGGCACGTGTTATCAGTTTGTGATTTATCGTGTGCTGACATCCATGTGGACCTGTGAAACCAACTGTCACAGTGAACATAACAAATCCCATTCATCCCAAACATTTCCACGTGGGTCCGTGCAACCCACCCCTTCCTCACATCCCGGCGGTCACTGATCTGCTTTCGGCTGCTATAGGTTAGTTTGCATTGTTCAGAATGTTAAATAAATCTCATTGTGCACTCTGTGCGTCCTCTCTTAGTGTGGTTTCTTTCACTGGGAATTCCAGTTTGGCGATTCACCCCTAGTATCCTCTGTTTCAAGAATTCATTTGTTTTCTCGTTGAGGATTATTCAGTTGGATAAATATGACACACCGTTTCTCTCTTTATCTGTTAATGGACACGAGCTGTAAAATGTGACTTTTTATTATGTGCAATATCTTCCTGTATATGTGGGTGTGTTTTCAGAATTTTTTTTCCTGTTCTATTGATCTATTTATGTGTCCTTGCTCAAGTAAAACATTGTTTCAATCACTGCAGTTTTAAAGCATTTTTCTCCTCACTGTTTTTCTTTTTATTTCAGTTTTTTTTTTTGGGGGGTGTGTGTGCACTTTCTTTTCTGAACTTTAGAAGCTACTTAACAAATTCTATTCAAATATCCCATTAAAAGTTCCAGTGGAATATATCTTTTCTCTTTCTTTTATTTTTACCAAATACCCAGATTTTGAGATGAACTATATTTTGTATCACTTTTTCTTTACAACCATATCTCCAGGAATGTATTTTTTACTTTTTCTTCACCATTGTATTGCACAGTACTTAGCATATGTTACATGCCCCTTAAGTATTTGCTGAGGGAGTGAATACATGCGTGGTGTATTCATAGAATGGAACAGTATATGGCCATGGAGAAAGAATACAATAGATCTTCATTTACTGTTCTGGAAAAATGCCCACAACTAATTGATAATGAAGTAACAGAAAAACCAGGTTACCTAACCATAAGCATGACGCGGTCCCATTTGCAAATCAGGTACACGTGATGCAGGTGTGTGAGTGCACCACGCGTGAGTGCAGGTGTGCGCGTGCAGGCACGTGAGTGCAGGCGTGTGAGCGTCAGCGTGCCTGTCCATGCAAGCACGTGAAAACCGACACCAGGCTGCAGAGAAGGTTGCAGTGAGGGGAAGAGAATTGGGGGAGAGGAATCTTCAGGGAGACCTGGGCTTTCTGCATTGTTAAAGCTGCTCCCATTGGAAACAGGAAAGGAACTTCCATTTTCGTGAGGAAAGCTTTTGAATAATATTTAGATGGTCCAAAAAATACACAAAGTGATATCTAATGTACGATTCCAAGAATGTCTATATTGAGCAAAGCGTGGACAATAGCCGGCTGAGCGCCCAAGGCGGAGAGTGGGGAGGGAAGCGATGGATTTGCCTGTGGTGGGAAGACTTTGCCCAGTCGGCCGCAGGATTAGAAAGTTTGCCGCCCGCTGCTGCCAACGAGCAAACAGAAAAACCAAAAACCAAACCTGCCTCAGTGCCCAAGGCCGACTCTGTGCCGTAGCCCGGTGCAGCTCTCCACCTGCCATCTCACTGTTTCACTCCCTCTAACGGGTCCACGCTGATTAATTCCCAAACCCCTCTTGCCTGTGACCCAAGGCGGTTTTCTCCTTTGGCTTTTTTTTTTTTTTCTCTCCCTGAAAGAAGCTCTTTTTCTTGCCAGCCCTGAGATGGGCTGAATAAATTGATCATAATTATACAGCCTGCCTGGATGGATGAAAAAACACAGTGTCATCTACTCTCAGGGTCCCTAGGAGGGTTGTTAGGGTTGTTTGAATGACTCCCAAAGCACCTGGCTCTATTTCTGCCCGTTGAGCTGCTAAATTGGCATCAAAAAGTTAACTCTGAGGAGGCAGAAAACATGATTTGTTAATTGCTGGGAATTGAACAATGAGATCACTTGGACACAGGGCGAGGAACATCACACACCGGGGCCTGTCATGGGGTGGGGGGAGTGGGGTGCGATAGCATTAGGAGATATACCTAATGTAAATGACAAGTTAACGGGCGCAGCACACCAACATGGCACATGTATACATATGTAACAAATCTGCACGTTGTGCACATGTACCCTAGAACTTAAAGTGTGTGCATGTGTGTGTGTGTATATATATATATAAACAAACAGTAATTATTGCCTGTTTCTGATCCTGAAGATAACATACATGCCTGTAGTGAATACATTTGGAAATTGCATTCCCATGAAACTTTTAATGAGATATTTGAATAGAACTTGTTAACCAGCTGGTGAAGTTCAGAAGAGAAAATGCACACACACTAAAAAACTAAAACACAATAAAAAGAACAGTCAGGAGGAAATGCTTTAAAATACAGAGAAAAGGATAATGGAGAATATATGTCATCCATAATCCCACCACATAGAGATGATTTTATATTTTTTGGTTTTTTTGTTTGAGACAGGGTCTTACTCTGTTGCTCAGGCTGGAGTGCAGTGGTGCAATCACAGCTCACTGCAAACTTGACCTCCTGGGCTCAAGCAGTCCTCCCGCCTTGGCATCCTGAGTAGCTGGGATGATGGGTGCACACCACATGCAGCTAATTTTTTTGGTTTTTGTAGAGATGGAGTTTTGTCATGTTGCTCAGGCTGGTCTTGAACTCCTGAGCTCAAGTGATCCACTCACCTTAGCCTCCCAACCAAAGTGCTGGGATTACAGGCGTGAGTCACTGTGCTCAGCCCGTATTTTTAATATGTAGTGCATGTCCTTATATTTTTTCAGGTGTGTGCATGTATACATATATACATACACGCATTATATATGTATGTGCACATATCCACAGACATGTATTTGAAGATGCGGAAAAACTGGGGGAGACACTGAGGAGATTTAAACATGGGTGTGGCATGATTCAGATTTCGTATCATTCTGGCAGTTAGTGTGGAGACAGATATAGGGGCAGCCTCTAGTGGCAGGGACCAGTGGGCAGGTCACCTAAGGCTTGATCCCCAACATCCAGGCATGTGACGATTGTGTCCTGAGTTCAGGCAAGGGCTATTGATGAAGCAGAGGAAATGTTTGGGAAACAGTGGAAAAATCAGAATTGCCATCAGGGAAATACCTGGATAAAGGCTCTGGAATAGACACCCGACTTGGCCATTGCTTCTAGAGGGGTTAGATAGCCCCTCAAAAGAGAGAGTGTGGACAGAAGAGCCGCATGTCAGGCTTAGGTCCGAGAGGGCGAGTTTGCAGAAGGAGTGATGGCAGGGGAGTGGGGAACCAGGGGCATCCCGAGTTTGGACAGAGGCAATGTGAATGGACACAAAAGGAGAGATTTGAGTGAGATTTAGACATTAGAATCCCTGGAACCGGGTGACTGATCAGGGCTGGGAGGAGAACAAAGGGAGGCAGGTGGAGATTAACCCAAGGGCTGATCTCCATGTTCCCAAGAGATGTCATGGGAGGATACGGAACATTTGTCCCTAGGATATGGACTGCAGCGTCCCTGCAGTACTAAACAGATCACTGGTATGTGGGAGCGAGATGCCCACCATTGTTACCGGGCTGAAGAGCTGGTCCCCTTTCACACCTGCCTCCTGCCTCCCACCACTTCCCAATCTTCTTAGACACGGGCGCAGGGAGACTCTGCAAGACTCACACCTGCTCCTGCCTCCCACCACTGCCCGATCTTCTTAGACACGGGCGCAGGGAGAGTCTACAAGACTCACACCTGCCTCCTGCCTCCCACCACTGCCCGATCTTCTTAGACACGGGCGCTGGGAGACTCTGCAAGACTCACACCTGGTTCCTGCCTCCCACCACTTCCCAATCTTAGACACGGGCGCTGGGAGAGTCTACAAGACTCACACCTGGCTCCTGCCTCCCACCACTTCCCAATCTTCTTAGACACGGGCGCAGGGAGAGTCTACAAGACTCACACCTGGCTCCTGCCTCCCACCACTTCCC